ACAGGCCAGCCCCCAGGCTGCTCCCGGGGCCCCCCCTGTGTTTGAGCCTGGCCGGGGTTCCAGGCAGGAGCTGCGGAGCAGCGCGCGGAGGCAGCGGGAAAACAACAACAAAGCAGCTTTATTTCCTCAAACAGGCTCATAGCAAAGTTCCGGCTGCATTTCCATGCCCAGGCAGCAGGAAATACATCCCAAAAGGAGAAATAACTTAAGTGGAGCTCGGGCTCAGCAAAACCAAGGGGCGGCAGCATCCTCGGCCACGGCTCCGGGAGCGCTTGGAGCGGGAGCTTCCCGGCGGCCTGCGCCGGTGCCCATGGGATGGAGCTCCGCGGTGTCTGTGCCCTTCCCTGCAGCTGGATGTCCCCATCCCTGCTGGAAGGGACCCATGGAGGAGCAGGAGGGCTGGGGTGGCCCGTGGGGCCATGGCCACGGTGGGGACCAGCCTGCAGCCAGGGAAGGGGGATGTCACCGTGGGCAGCAGGAGCTGCGGGGCCCTGTCCCGCCGGGGCGGCCGCACGGGGACGCGGCCGAGCGCTGGAGTGCGGGTGTCCCCGGGGCAGCCCCGGGAGCAGGGCAGGAGGATGAATCCCGGCCCTTCCCTCCGGAGATCTGGGAGATCTTTGGTACGAGGACGGGCCCCGCTGCGGGGTAACGTCACGGCCGGGCGCGGGAGCCGCCCCCGTTTGGCTTCATCCCGAGGAAAGCCTGGAGCCGCCGGACAACCCCATCCACGGCACAGGAAGGGACCAGCCCCTTGTCCAACATAAGGGACAGAGGGATAAGCCCCCCGCTTCTCCCTGCACAGCTCCAGGCCCCTTAAGGCAGGGGACAATATTGCAGGGAAGTCTCTAAGGCGCCGGCTCCCCCGTGCTGGGGAGGAGCAGGAGGGAGCGCGGAGCTGTCAGGTCATGTAGCGGGTGACGGCGCGCAGCGCGTACAGCAGAGCCGCCTGCAGCCGGGCCTCCAGCAGCAGCAGGTTCACGTGCACCTGCGAGCAGGGCAGCAGCGTCGGGGCACAGCGGGGACGAGGCCAGCACGGCCCCCGTCACCACCCTGGGGCTCAGGAGGAGCCGGGACAGGGAGACGGGAGCAGCTCCCTGCCCGGCTCCGCAGGGAGAGGGGACGGCACCTTCTCCGAGTGCTTGAAGTGTCTCCAGAACTGCGTGTACATCCGCTTGGTCGTCTTCTCGGGGTAGCAGGCCACCGTCTTGATGTAGATCTTCAGGCTGCGCTCCAGGAGCTGGTTGACCTCCCCGTAGTCGTAGTCATCGTAGCTGCGGAGAGGAGGCCACGTCACGCCAAGCACAAGCGGTGCCAGAAGGGCCCCGTTGCAGCACCCGCTCCGGGGGCAGAGCACAGGGGTGGCAGCGGGGACGTCCCCTGCTCCCGCTCTCCTCTCACGGAGGCTGCCCACACGGGGGGACCCGGCTCCCCTCGAGGCACTTGGGGCCCTACCGGATGCCGAAGACGCAGTGGACGTAGTTCCAGATGGCCCTGCGGAGCACGGAGGTGTCCACGCCGCAGTGCATGGCGATGGTGTTGTACGTCAGGTTGTAGACCACCTGGAACTTCTCATCCAGGAGCTGCCCCACGTCCGGGTACAGGCGGTTGATCAGCGAGTAGCCGTGGTCTTCCCAGGTGTAATCCTGCCGGGAAAAGGCTGCTGGGAGCAGTGGACGTAGTTCCAGATGGCCCTGCGGAGCACGGAGGTGTCCACGCCGCAGTGCATGGCGATGGTGTTGTACGTCAGGTTGTAGACCACCTGGAACTTCTCATCCAGGAGCTGCCCCACGTCCGGGTACAGGCGGTTGATCAGCGAGTAGCCGTGGTCTTCCCAGGTGTAATCCTGCCGGGAAAAGGCTGCTGGGATGGGGGTTCCACAGGCAGAACGCAGGGTCCCTTGCGAGCCAAGGGACCCAAGTGCCGGCGGGTCCCGTGTCCTGCCTTCTCCAGCCCGATGTCACCCTTTCCCCACCACGTGTCCCAGCAGGGCCCTGTGTGGGCACAGGCTCCCGCCCGGTGCCAGCCCATCGCCCGGGACCCCCGTCCGCCCCAGGGCACCCACCTGCGCGCGGAAGGTGGGGGGCGCCTGCTCGCCGCGGCGCGTGAAGTCCTTGTAGCCGAAGTCGGGGTCCTCCACGAAGCGGAGC